TCTAAGGGAACGTTCTTACACTTATTTGGATCCAAACTGTAACATGACAGTTAGAATCCACATATATCATTCCCTATATGCCTACATGGTGTCACTACACACACCAGCAGTGAGAAACATAATTTTAAATAGATCTGTATAGCAATATTATCATTTGACTTCAGATCAATCTGTTGATCTTAAAGGAAAGGTCAGAGGTCAAATATGACATGATATTTTAAATCTTTACTGTCTATATGGCGACACACTTGTAAGAATTATCAGGCAGTTATAAGGCTTTTTATCAATTTATCAATCATGAAGTTGACCTTGAAGACTTCGGTGGATGGCAGCCAAATTTGAATGTATTATCAACATGACCTCGCTCCACACATCTACAAAGTTTGATCAGAATTCATTCAAAACTTTTCCAGCTATTGTGTTTACAGACAGAATGACATGCACGCACACAAATGCTGCCAAAACCATAACCTCCTTGGCAGATGACCTCAGATTATTTTAGTCATGAACACACAGATAAACTGATGAATAATTGATACAAAGTATCTTCTATCCCCTCGTTACAACAGTGCTTCAAACAGAACTGAAATAGATTTGTGTAAGAAGTGGGTGCAAGGCTGTGTGTGTGTGTGTGTGTGTGTGTGTACACGTACGAAGAGAGGCACTTTTTACATTAAATAAACTCAATCAATAAATAAAAACATATACACTTCTTGCCTGCTGGATATACTGCTGTCTCTCTATTATTGCAGGGTCTTTACAATATAAAGCACCGACTACCGTGAATCTGTGTTATACCAAGAAAACTGAACTGCGTAACAACAAATAATAATGAAGATTAAAGTTTAATAAACTAAACATGAAAGCAGAAGATGAGCTTAAAGCCAGCTGACCTCTTTCAGCCGCTCCTCCCACAGCTCTCGGCCCTGACCGTCCATCATGTGGAGCCCAGACAAGACGACAAGCTCGGGCTGGAACTCTTCCAGGCTCACCACAAAAGTCTCCAGTGAGCTCATCTTCCCGTTGGACATGTCGTGAGAAAAGATGAAGCGGTTGGCTTGAGGTGCCTGAGTTGAACCCCATTTCTCACCTGGAGACAGAGAAGAGGAGCACATGCACACAGCTGTGATATTACTCATCCAGGCTGAAGTGAGGGAAGAAATCTTGCCCGGGCTGCAGCGTCTTCTTCTTTACCTGCTTTATACTCCAGGATGAGGTGAAACTCATCCGTCTCCTGAAGGGAATCTGGGGGAACAATTATCTGCTCATCCAACATCTCGTGAAGTTTAGGACCAACTGGACCACAAAGCAAAACCTGTTACATAAAACAATATTTATAAGCTCTTCATCCAGATACTCTAAACTTCCCCAGCCTGGCTACCATTTACTTATTTTTGTGCCACTTGCTTAGAATAAATTCCTGGATCTGTGACAGAGATGCTCTAATATCCAGAATTACAGTGTTATAGCGTGTTTGGAGGGCTACCAAAGCAAAAAGCTAATGCTTCTAAATAAATGAAACGTTGTGTACGTGTTTAAGACAGAAATATCAAACTGCTGGTCTACCATCAGATCAGGGTATGTTGCAAGCTTCTGAGCAATCAGGGCAGCATTTCCTCCCACGTAGAACTGGAAGACGACACAAAGATTTTTTGAGAAGGAAGTATTTATTTTAAAAAACATTAAAAGAAATAAAGGAAACAGCTGCCTGAGGAGTAAAGCAGCCCTCTTGCCTTTGCATTGGGGTACTCTGCTGCTGCACGCGCAATCCTCTGAAAAGCCTCCCTGTCACTGAAGAAGCGCTCAGCGGCCGCTCCACGCCCCATGTAATGGATGAAAGCTTCCTTCAAGTCCTCTTTGGAGTGCAGCACTTCGTGATCCTGGCCGATGCCAGGATCCACAGCCAGAGCCTGCAGGAGTGAAACTCCTGAGACCACCACGTCCACGCAGGCATTTACCCTTAGAGAGGCAAGTACAGACTGCGGGTTATTTCACGGGTAAATCCGACAAAATGACCAAACTGGTGATGTTAAAAAGGAGGCAAATCCACCAGTGTGGTGTCAGTGTCACAAAACAAGTAACAATTCCTTCATTAAAAACATCAGGGTTTTGTACAGATGCAAGGAAAACTTGCTTTAAAGCTACTTTTAGTAGTTCCCCTATCACATTTAACTAACACACCAACAGGGGGCAGAATTACACCAATGGGTGTGTTGATGTTTTTGAATGTTTACTAATTTCTTTAAGCCTTTAAAACAGAGGTTTGACGTTAATGGCACTTATGGAAAATTGTCATACCCCACGTAGCCTGTGGGTCACAGTAAATGTTGTATTCTTTATGTTAAGAGCAAAAGTAAGGGAATTTGAAACCTGCATATTCTAATCTACTAACACAGGTGAATAAAATGCGAGTAGATACCAAACAGCTCAACTGTTTATTTAAGAGCAATCACAAATCTTTTTTGGTATTTTGTTTGACTTTTCCTGATTGGTGGAGACAAAACACTATTAGTGTTCTGCAATTAATTGAAATCATGGCTTGCAAGAGTAATGAGAACGCTCAAAACTTATAAAATGTAAAATCAAGAAAATCGTATTTGAGAATCATCAGTGGACATCCAGATAAGCTGAATTGGTTTTACCACTCATGTTAAATAAAGCATCTCTTCCTGGCGTCACAGCAGTCCTGGATGCAACTATCCTACCATTTCAGTGGGACTTCCGGTGTATTGTTTCACTTCTCCCACTTTTAAAAAAAAAAAAAAAAAAAAAGGGGGGGGTGGGGTTCCATCCCTCCAGTGGGCCGTCCTTCAGCTTCAGCCAATCATCTTTTGCCATGTGATAATCTGGTTGCGTTTATTGGCCATTCCAAAGCAGGCTACAGGTTGCAAATGACTTAATTCTCTTAGACACCTCCTTCTCCTCAGCTCTGACTCATGACAACACAATCCTTCACACTGGCAGAGCAGACTACAGCCTCTTCATGTGCACAGCACCTTCAGGTGACACGCCTGAGTAAATGCACAAATCTATTTCTTACAAAGACCTCTGTTAATGTTCAACTCTGTGACTCACCCCACTGCCACTCTGCTCCACTGCCGGGTTGGTAGAGTTATCAGAGCCTCCCAGGCGCTGGAGATCACCCGCTCCAAGCTGTTCTGACTGTTCAGGTTTTGAGATGAAGTCTGGAAGTTTGGCAGGCTGATGTACTGCAGGATCTGCTCCGGCAGCTCTGGACTGCCGTAGAAATAGCCAACGGCTAGTGCCAGCAGGGCCGCTACCAAAGCCTTCCTCCACATGATGCTCTCCCACACACTCCTGAGACAAAGGAAGTCGGACACTCTCGCTTTAATATTAACCATTGGTATTCAAAACTCATCCAGTCATGCAGGAGATGTTTCATATATTTATACAAGCTGTAACATTTTCTTAATCTTGCAGGTTTCTTAACTAAAACTATTTGGTGTTATCTATTAATGGATTGACAAAAAAACAAACAAACAAAGAGCAGCTTTTTAATTATTTTTAATTTTAAAAAATGTAAAAAAAAATAATTAAAAAATCAGATCACCGTAAAAGTCTAAATTCCTCTAAATGTCAGGGGCTCCAACAACTGCAGTCCCTCCAATGGCCACTTGAGGAATCAGTCCTCTACTAAAACATCAGGTTTAACACCAAAATAAATAGGTTTACAGCCTGGCACAGGACAAACAAACAAACAAACACACCCACAACCTTCCCTCTATGGATAGTGTCCTTCAATTAAATCAACATTAGATGTTGTTGTTGTTTTAAACATAACATCGATTTGCATTTTGCTAAGGCTCAAAGATAAAGGTACATTTCTGTTTCGCACAAATTTGCTACTTTTTAACTTTTAAATCTGCAAGTTTGTTTATTGTAAATTTCCACATTTGTTTGTGGACATTTCTTTCATCCAGTTATGATTCGTAAATTGATTTATGTATAATGAACTATACTATACTACTATACAATGACCCCCTTCAGTCCCCCAGCCTCTTATTTATTTATTTTAACCTAATACAATTCACATTTTCTGATTCAGATTATCTCAGTTGATACGATCCAGATTGACACCAAGATGAAACTGCAGGTTTAAAATATGATCTCCGTGTTTCGTGCTAATAATACCAAGAGTTGCTCTGGTAGGCACAGGGAGCCCATTGCCCTCTAAGCTGCAAATATACTGTGCACATTAATGCATAGTATGCTGGGTTAACTTAGTGCAAACGTGGACACAGAGAATGTGTTAGCTAACACGCTAGCAGCCCTCAGGCTGTATGTTTGCTCACAGTTTAGCAAAGATAATCTGCATGTAGCAAGTAGCTTTAGCTAGTCGGGGTTATTCGGAGATCTCATTTAGAAAGGAGGCTCGCAGCCAAACACTTGCTGTACAGTCGGATCAGTTTAACAAACAGCTCTTGTTACAATCGAAGTAGCCAAAGCTTCACTGTAAGTTGTCAGCGGCACGTACCGAAAATCTGCTTTAAAGGGATTCAAAGTCTGTCAGTCACGAAGAAGATCCAGCTTCCTGGTAAGTCACACAAAGTAGGTCCAGACACCGGAAAACTACCGGTGTATAGAGGGAGCGGCAGCTGAAGAAGTCGGTACAAGTCATTCAAGGAACACGGAGTGGGGAAAAGACGGCAGACCGCCAGCAGCGGCTTCCGTCTACCGTAACGCGCATGCGCTACTCCACGGTGCATTGAGGTACTGTTGTTAAAGTGGGAAGAACAGGAAAAAACCGTTTCTACTTAGGAGGATTAAATTTTACTCATCAATACAAGATGGTTATTCCAGCTCAAACTGTCAAACTCGGTTTAGTTTATAATCCCAAGTGACTGGAACCAGTTAAAAAAATAATGAAATTTTAATTGCAGTTTTTACTTTTATCTCATTTAACTAATGTCACTTCACTGTAATAGCCTAGGGCCTGAGACACAACCAAGATCACAAGCATTAGTGAAAGACACTCCTTATTAGACTGCTTTAAAAATCCCAAATGACAGAAAGCATTATTTATTGTTAAATCCTTTGGTGAGGATAGGAGGAGGGAGGTTGGCCCGCTTCAGGCGTCTCAGGAAGTGGAGGCGCTGCTGGGGCTTTTTGGTGATAGAGGTGGTGTTGGTGAGGTGAGGTCGTCTGAGATGTGAACTCCCAGGAACTTGATGCTGTTAACAGTCTCTACAATGGAACCTCGGATGCTGAGTGGTGTGTGGGTGGAGCGAGTCTTCCTGAAGTCGACAATCACCTCCTTGGTTTTGTCCACATTCAGTGACAGGTTGTTCTCGCTGCACCAGTACGCCAGCTGCTGAACCTCATCTCTGTACGCCGACTCGTTGTTGCTGCTGATGAGTCCAACCACGGTTGTGTTGTCAGTGAACTTGATGATGTGGTTAGAGCTGTGTAGGGCGGTGCAGTCGTGTGTCAGGAGAATGAACAGTGGGCCGAGAACACAGCCCTGTGGAGCTCCTGTGCTCAGCCTGATGGTGCTGGAGATGTTGTCGCCGATTTGGACGGACTGAGGCCTCTCTGACAGGAAATCTAGTATCCAGTTGCAGAGAGAGGTGCTCAGTCCCAAACTTGCTGAGTTTAGCTCACTGATATCTGTGCATTGTATAAGTTTTGGGTTGTAAGGTCATACTTCCCATAAAGCCCAAAGAAAGCATACTCTTCTGACTTGATTGGTTTGTTTCTTTTATTCAGAGTGAAAAGGTTTGACCTGGGCCCTGTTTCAGGAAGCCGGTTTAGAAAACTCAGAGTGAAAAATGATACTCAGGGTTGAGTAACCCCGAACTGTCCAACTCGGAATATTCGGTTTCAGAAAGGCTGATAACAATTAGTTCAGTCAACGCGGAGTTGCTTTAACCCCAAGTTAAGCGCGCG